TTCTTTGGTCTCACGTAAATCCAACCATTTATATATATATATATATATATATATATATATATATATATAGACTTGGGATCATGTGAGATCAATGGTTTTTCGTGAAACCCGTAAGACCAATTATCAACCATTGGATTAGATCAACAATCGTCAGATCTGAACATTCATAAACACCACGAGAGTTCTCAATAATTACAAAATTGTCACCGCGCAACTTTAGACCATTAGATCATTAGCTTATAAAGTTAATTAATGAACATAAATTGGTTTTACGGGTCTCACGGAAAACCTTTGGTCTCACGTAAACCCAACCATATATATATATATATATATATATATATATATATATATATATATATATATATCGTATATGTATGGAGAATTGATGAAGGCTGGGAGCTGTCAGCTGATCGATCGAGCACGTGGTCTCTAGTGGTAATTGGCCAAGGGAGGATGTCACCAAACTTATAATAAATGAATTGTAAGGACCATTTTCTTAAAAATCAACAAAATACAGGAACCAAATCTATAATTAACTTCATTTTTTGTTAAGAATAAAAAAAAAAGTGATTCACAATTCATTTTAGAGTGAAATACATTTTTGGTGCATTTAGTTTGTTGAAAGACTTATCTATCCTTCAGAGTTTTTAAATGGTATGAAGTTCAAAAACATGAATGTTATGAAATCAATATAAATAGTTTATTTTAAGAAATAAATCTAAAATTTATGCATATTTACATCAAAATAAAATATAAAAATAAAAGAAAATCAACGGTTCATTTCATTATAGCCGTCTAGACTCTATATCACCTACCCCCCTTTCTCTCTCTCTCTCAATTGTTTTAATCTCAATCGTATCTTCTCCATATCCCACAACATCGTTGCATTTAACATTGTCCAACGTCCACAACTGAAATATATAAATATACGTCTCCATATAATTATAAGTATATATTATTGACATAATTCCAAGAGAAAAAAAAAATTGTGATCACGACCACTATCTTTTTGTTGTCTAGTACCAAAATAAATCTGTTAATAATTATTACGAAGAAAAATATCACTTAGGTGTCATTTACTAAACACTTATCTGAGCAAGCGTTTACCAAGTCACATTACTTTACCAGATGAATATAACAATGATTGAAGAATCTTACCCGGTAAGAACGAAGACAAGTCAAAGACCTTCCAGCCTAGTGGTTAAGGCTTCGGCATGGCATAGTCATGAACCCGAACCCGAGTTCGAGCCCTGGGAGGGGAGTGTTGACGACATTTAAGTGGGGCCATGTTTAGCCTCCAAATTTGCCGGGGATTAGTCGGGCTTTGGCCCGGACACCCTTACAAAAAAAAAAGAACGAAGACAAGAAGCGAGAGTCTTACCCGGTAAGTGAGGGCAACGACTCTTACCATGATTTGCGCTTACCAGGATAAATTGTTGCATATGATGCGTTTTGGTGAATAAAATCTTACATGACAAGTAAGCGATGATGTTGAATTTTATCGGTAAACCCTTACCGGGTAAGTGAATAGGTAAATGACCCATTAATATGAATATCACCCAGAAATATATTGGTTGCCATAAAAACTATTGATTATTACTAGGTTTAAGTGAGTGCGACATTAAACTCTCCATAAAAGTCAAGTACAAATCCATATTTTCTTATAAAGTATTTAGATATTACTTTTAAATTTTTAAATCTGTTAATTTATTAAGCAATCAGTACAAATTATTAATGCAATGAAATTATGATTTATTGAGAATTTTTGGTCAAAAACATGTTTCATAAGTGGAAAAACAGGCGGAATGAGATTTATGTGTATAAACTATATCGGCAAAACGAAAAAAATCAAACTCTCAATATTTATCTCTGAAACGAATGAATACTTGATCATTAATTCAGAACGATTTTAAGATTATTGTGAACTCCGAAGTTCATTGCGTTGTGAAGACATTTGGGTGAAGGTTTGTATCGTTAGA